CCTCTCAATGGGAGGATTGTCTAAGAACTTGAGATTTAAAACCACCACACCAGTGAAGCCTGGATCTCAAAACACTGTTTGAGATTATACCCAGAAGTGTCTCAGGTACACTTGGGTGAAATGTCTGGACCTCTGCAGGATCTGAGGCTGTCCCTTTTTGCACTGTTGACCTCTCTTGCATCCTAGTCTGAGGCTAGTCTGTGATGCACTAGCATGAGCGGCAGAGGCTGCACACAACCTTTGGAATTGGCCATAGTGCTGGGCTGGGGATGATTTGGGAGTCCCAGATCAGCCACTATCTCATGGTGGATTCTGAGTAAGTTCCATTCCCTCTCCAAGATGGTCATCTCTGCTCTTCTGTCCATGGAATTAGTACAAAGATCCAAGAAGATAGTGAGAGCCTTTGGAAATAGAGGAAAAGCAGCTACAGGGGGAATTGTCAATGGAGACCTAGCTGGATGCTTGCACAAGGGGAATTAGGCCAAGCTAACTATGCTAGGCAAACAGCAACAGAGCACAGAAAGTAAAAAGGAAGAATGCTGAAGGGCAGGATGCTTCCCAGGACCTTGTCATCCACCTGCCTCCCTTCTGTTTAAGTTTTCCTCACACTCCAGGCAGGGGCTTCCTGTAGGTACCACACTTTATATATATTTACCCTTCTCTGAATGGATCATCTGTCAGTTCTTATGATTGGCTATATCTCCTCCTGGTCTGAGTTCATGAGACAGGACACGCTTGGATTTGCACCTTTGTCCCAGGGGCAGGTGGGGCATAGCATTCTCCATCCTGTTTGCTGGGCCTTACCCTATTGCCATTCCTCCTGGGTCACCCTGGAGAACCTGCTGAAAGTCAGCCCAGGCCCAATGCTCTAGGCTCTCACTCCTCCTAGGGACCACTATTGGGGGTACAGGTGGGGAGATGCTGCTCTGTTCTCTGCAGTTATTTTCTCACTTGTTCTGCCCACCACCCCAAATCAGCCACAGCTTGCATGGGAAACAAAACCATTAGGTCTCAGAGGCTACTTCTGATTATCCCTTCTATCACCACAAGCAAGGAAGCACAGAGTGACTTCATTTGTTCACTCAACAAGCATCCATCACAGTTCAGTGTGATATTCCCTAAGTTAGGAGCTGAGGATGCTTTTCCAAAAGCACAGAGATCTGTGCTTTCATTGACCTTCCATTTGAGTGGGGAAAAGGAATAACAAATACATGAATTAAATAGGATGCTAAAGGTCATACATACTATGGGAGAAAACGAAGCAGAGTAATCAGGACATAGGGTACAGAGCAATTGAAGTTTTAAATGGGATGGTCAGGGAAGCATCAACAAGAGAGTAACATTTGGGAAAGAAAAAAGATACGCGTACATTAAAAACCTTTTTGTGCTTCTTCCTTGTCTGAGAATAAATTCAAGAATTTGTGGGTTTGGTAGCCTTAATTCATAAATTTTTAAACGCTTAAGCCTTAAAACACCCAGGCTCTTATTTGCTCCTACTTGTCTAGAAACAGGTGGACCTGAGACCCCTCACAATAGGTAATACTTTATACTTAAATATAATCACAATGTAAGCCGCCGCCACACACACAAAAAATATCCTATTATGGTTCACAATGTATATCCTGTTATGCTATTTCTGTTATATATATTATACATACATACATATATATATATATATCCTGTTAGCTTTAGTGTTCATAATGTATGTTCTTTCTGTTAGCCCTAAAGCCATGTTATATATATTCTGTTAGTCTTACCTTCACAATGTGCATCCCATCATTTCAGTCCTAAACGTCCTGTTATGCTATGTGAACAGCCTGTTACTAAAGAAAGCCCCTAACCACAGGTCAATTGTGACACCTGCTTATCTGCTGAAAACTTCTGCCTCTGTAAAATGCTGCCTTGCTCACCCCAACCCCCTCCCAACTTAAAACTACAATATAAAACCTTCCCTTTTCAAGCACTCAACACCCAGGTTTTTCTGAAGCATGAACTTCACTGGGCCTACTGGTCATTAAAGTCTTGGTTTTTTCTCCACCTCTTCAAGTAAAACTCAGTTTTTTCCGAGGTTCAGAATTTCTAACAATAGCCTGGCTCCTGTTTTCTCCAGACACACACACACACTCATCTCTACACTCTAGCCAATCTCGGATGTGCACACGTTTCCTGTGCCACACAAATATACATAATACTCCCCATAGAATAACTATAAAATAATAGAGGTGTCCTGTGGGAGAACACAAAAGGTTAACTCACTGGAGCTACATGGAAAACATGCAAAAGTCCTGGCCAAAAAGTGTTCCATTCCACACTCAAGCTCACTACTGCAAAGCATCAGCAAGTAAAGGGGGATTTACTGGGGGCCCATTTCCACTTTGCTACAGATGGGAAAACTAAGGCCTAGAGAGGAGTGGTGGCATTCTTGGGTTCACACCTCATCTGCACATAAGGGCTAGATATTCTGCAAGAATAGCATGTGATCTGTAAGACCTCAAGTTCCTCTATTAAACCTCAGAAGGAGAAAAGACTGGTCTGATTTCCCGTCTACCAACTGGCTACCATATGTAGGAGCTCAGTGCCCTGGTTAAAGGGCCCCTTGCTGATCTCTTCAGCACTCAAGGCAGAATTGTCTTTCCTGACTGAGGATTCTGCCCAATTGTGTGATGGGAAGTCAGCAACAGACTGTTGTTCTGGACAGGAAGGGAGTCCAAGGCTGTCAAAAGAGAATCCAGAAAGAATCTCTTGCCATAGTCAAGACTTGGGTGGCTGTGGTATGATCTTATGACCCTGGATTCTGTGTTCCAAACCCAGTTCCCACTGCTCGGGGCCAGGAGAGGGGAGGTCTCTGGTGGCTCAAAAGGAATGGGGTGCTATAGGACCATAGGGCTAATTGCTGTAACCATAACACCAATGAGGAAGTCAGAACTAAGTGTGAAGGTCAACAGATTTGACAAAGCCAACAAAAACAGCCAAATGAATGAGGCTGTGTTGCAGATCTTCAATGGGGGCAGGGTTGAAAAAGGAGGTGGGAGGGAGTGTGGTACACAGGAGCCCACTTACGTAAAGATCAAATCTTACTCTTGCTTCCCAGGTAATGCCCAGAAAGTTGAAAAAGTACACCCAAATCCCTCTCCTGTTCCTGGGACCCTGAAACCCAGAGTGTTGTTTCCAGGCACCTCAGGACATCAGTATCCCTCCCTGCCAGACCTCCTCCTCTTGGTAGGCAGGTGTTCTTTCCTTGGACCAAGTAGCTTGATCTTTTACAGATGGTATTTTTCTCTCAGAACAGAAATACTTGCCAGTAATAATGACGATGGCTATCATTTATTGTACAGGCTCCCTACTGCCAAGTTTTATGCAAAGAATTTAACATTTACATTTTCATTTAAGTTTCTAAGAATCTATAACGTAGATTCTATCATTTTTATCTTACCAGGAAACCGAGGCTCAGAAAAGCAAAGCTATTTGCCTGAGGTGTCATAGCTAATTCTCGAGGGCTCAGGATTTAAACTGAGGTCAGACTCTAGGCTCAAGGTCTCAGCAAATACTGTCTGTGACAAGGCTTCTTGGAGGAATCCTTTACTCATAGATGTTGACAAAAGAGTACTAAAAACATATTTAAGAATTAAATACTGTTAGAAGTCCCTCACAACCCAGAAAAACTCCCCAACAAAACTGGATTGATGAAATAGACACGTAATACACAAACCAGAATATCCATAAGAGGAAAAGCTTATCACTATAGTAATCAAAGAAATACCAGTTACCGCCATGTGAGGACGTAATGAGAAAACAGCAATTTCCAACCCATAAGAGGACTCTAAGGAGACAGAATGTGGCACCCTGATCTAAGACTTTCGGCCTTTAGACTGCGACAAATGTGTTGCTTACAAGCCTCCTGTCTATGGCATTCTGTTATATTGGCCCAAACAGATAAGACCGTGTATTACCTCCGAGGAAAACCAAAGATTTGTGCAATAAAGAAAATGCAATCATGATATGCGTGTGCACACACGAGAGAAAGAAAAAAAAGGGAAATTAAAATTACCACTTCACTGCTTTTTGCTTGTCGGACTAGAAAAGATTACAAAGAAAAATGGCTACACTAAAAGTCTGGGGAGTAATTGATTTAATTTACTCCTAGTTCACTGTGATTATGTCCACAGGATAGACTTTCCAATTATCAGCTGCAAGGCTTATGACAGTGAGCAATAAACATTTTTATGATAATTGCCGACACAAAGTTAAATGCAAAACAATAAGAGACAGACCGAGCGCGGGCGATGGCTCCTCTCCCCCGCGACTCCGGAGACCCCGAGACTCCGCCCGCAGCCTGCATGGACCGGGAATTGGCCTGAGGCCCCGGACAGGGGGCGCGGCCCAGGCCGCGGGGTGGGGCGCGCGTGGGAACCACAACTCCCAGGCGCCCGCGCGCTCCCTCGCGAGATCACGTGACCCGCGCGGTCAGGGTCGCGGACGGGACGCTCACTGCTGAACGGAGTCGGAGCCCCAAGACCCGAACGAGCAGACGCTGACCCGGCGGAGCCCGGCCGGCGCGCTCACCGTGGCGGTGAGTCCGGGGCGCCCTGCCGAGGATGGACGCGGGTGGGCAGCTGGGGCGGGTTGCCCTCGAACAGCTGCCCCGGACATCCCGGATCCTCGCCACCCCTGGCCCCGGGCTGGTGAGGGCACTGCCACACTCGGGTCAGGGTTGAGCGACGCGGCAGGTGGTGCTGGCGGTGGCTTCGGGGTTTCTGTTTGCTTCTTCAGCTGGGAGTCAGTCGGGCCAGACGAGCGCCGGCTGTGGTGTGGCCAGAAGTGCGAGCACCGTGGGCGAGGACAGCAGAGAGGGTCCCCGTCCCGGGCTCCGGCCAGCGCCCGGGGGCGCGAGAGTGACCTGGGAGTTCCGAGGAGGCTTCTGCCAAAAGGAGAGTCCCAGGGGGGTTCCTCTTGGCCGGGCTGCACACACCCCCGACCCGGGACCGCCCTTGGCAAGTAGTTGTGATTCTTTAACAGTCCCAGCTACTTCCTATCCTCCCGAATCAGAAAGTAGCGTGTGTATGACTGACACTTTTTCTTGTTGGGGTTCACCGGGGCCGGAAAGAATGACATTTTAGAAGAGCCTCGTGTCTGGAGAAATCCTAACACTTTCTTCACCCCATGAAGAATGCTGAAAACTCTGACAGGAAACCTATGCAATTCGTAGTCAACCGCCCACCCTACCACCTATCTGTCCTCCAAAAGGGGAAATAGATGGGAAAGTTCCCCAAGCCAGTCAGCAGCAACACAGGTACCTTAAATCCCCTTCTGCAGTCTTTGGTTAATAAACGAGGGAGCTTTTCTCAGTGTTAAGTAACTCCGCAAGAGAAAATAAGGAAGAAAACAAGTCCCACGGATTGCTCCCTGTTCCCCAAGGTCCTTCTCCACCCAGGGCGTGGTCTTGAGGACGGGCAAATTAAACTGCTAGAGCCCAGATTCGTCCCAAGTGGGAAAACAAGATTGAAGACCTACACCGTGTTTATCTGACCACAAAACCCTTTAACTGAAAACTGCAGCATGGAGCACACAAGTCAGTGTACAGATTTGAATCCCTTTTCTTGAGCAAGCAAGAGTGGAGAAGGCCAAACAGCCTGTGAGTTTCTGTTCCTCCTGGGCTTCCAACTTCCAAGACAAGTATAGAACCTATGCTCTCTGCACTTCCAGTTCTGAACCCACTATACAGCCCTTTGTCATTCCAGTTGCCTTCTGCTGCTACTTCTTCAGAACTGATCACCACCTGTACCCCTATCCCCTGTCCTCAGTTAGGTATCTCCCAGGTGGCTTTATCTCCCACCTCCTGGTCCCTCCAGGTCTCCACTGTGCCTCCCTGTCCGTGACAACTTACACCTGGTTGTAATTATCTGGTCACTTCCCTGTCTCCCCTTCTAGACACTTAGTTCCATGAGGATCTAGGATTTTTCTCATCCCAATCTATCTATACCTTTAGGGACTGCACATCCGTAGCACAACAAAAGGAAATGTTTGTTGAATGACTTTTACTATCTGTACATGTTCCAGTCCACTGCAAAAAGTATGGGGTTGTTTTGAGCTCCACAGGTAGCTGGTCCAGGCCCAAGGATGATAGAAGAAACCCAGTTATGGAAAGTCCCTGGGTGATTAATTAGCCACTGGAGGCATTCCATTCATGCCAGCTGCTTTACCAACTGGATTCAAAGACAGGGTCATGGGCAAGATTCTTCACCTGGCAGGGATGGTGCCAGAGGCTTCTGCTGAAGCCAAATGAGTTCAATGCAAGTGTAAATGAAGTTTTATAGGATTACTTCTATCTGTTCATTTTTGCATGTTACTGTTTTCTGAACATTTTCCCATGTTAACAGATACACTTTGAAATTCTGACAGGAGGTATCTCTGGATAGTAGATCTCAAAATGAGTTTTACCTTCTATTTGGTACTATTTCAGCTTTCTGTACTGAGCAAGTCCCACTTCATATTAGGGGGATAAAAAAACTACCTTTATTTTTAAATTTTTTAACATAATTTAAAAGTAATTGCTAAGATTTCCATTTGGAATCTATCACATAATTTACCTAACCAGTCCCTACTAAGCAGCAGGAGAGGATCATGGCTCAGATGAACCATGAGGCTCCACAGACACCTGCCCCAGGAACAGCCCGAGTGCTTGTAGAGTGCATTTAGGTTTGAGAACCAGCACAGGCTTTCCAGAAGGATCTATGGATATGGTGCCTGATCTCTGAGTGATCTTGGGCAGGTAAGTGGGCCTTTCTGTGCCTTGTCAATTTAAAGGAGTTAGTAATAGTAAGTGGTACCAGAGAGGTCAGGGGAGTGATGCAGATAGAGGACAGAAGGCAACAGTGCAGGTCCATGCAGGACAGAATTCATGCAACTGCATGGCTGGTCTGTTCCATCACATGGTTTTACATTCCCTCTTTGTCCTGCAGATACAGAGAGCTCGGCACCTGTGTAGGCACAGGCAGGGTAATAAATCAGACCTCTTTCAAATCTGAAAAGCATGTTTGCCAAGTACAGCCAGCTGTTTCCAGGTCTCTAGCAGACTCAAAGCTGGAGTGTCCAGAACTGAACACAAGGATTGAGACATGCATGGATGACAGCAGAGGAAGCTGTTAAACATTATTTTGCCCAGTTCCACTCTTTCCCAAATTTGACCACAGAATCCATTTTTCAGGGCATTTCTTAACATCCTGGGGTTTTCATGGAACCCTTTTGAGAAATACCCCCTCCAGATTCTTCAGGTATGGGAAAGAGGTCAACTTGACCATCTCACTTTATGTGGATAGTTTTACAGTGCTTTCTTCCAACTTCCTTCAGAAGGTATAGACGCCTGAGAGAGGCCTTGATGAATAGATCTGGTTTGTTCTAAATCCTAGATTCAGTCTACTATTTTTTACTGTCTCTTTTGATCTTCAATTTTGAGAGGGGAAGAGGTGGACAGGGCTAGAACACGTATGGCTTATGGTCTAGGACTGTTGCCTATGAACAGAAGCTTGTGGCTTTGGTGTCCAAGAGGCCATGGAACATCCACATGGCAGTTTCCAGACAAAATGGCAGCTCTTCTAGTCTGTCTGTCCTTCTGCCCACCCACTGAAGATTGCCTCAGCCTGAAGTCCCGTTCCCTGAGTTGAGAAGAGATGGCCCCCACAACTTTCCTTAAAGCCTATACTGTCTCTCCAGGTCCTCCCCTCTTGAACACAAATTGAGAGCAGCTAAGCATCTTGTGAAGTCATGGACAGAACCCTTTCCCTCTCTGCACCCCCCCCCCATCCCCATCTATTAATGAGAGAGGATAGAGGGGGTAGGAGTTAGGCCAGATCAGTGTTTTTCAATCTGAGTTTCTACAAAGTTCAGGCCTCTCTCCCCTCTTCACTCAGAGCTTTGACCATTGCTTTTACCTTTAGTCTTTCCTAGAAGGCCATGAACTTATCCAGGGACACAGACATTAACCCTTCTTAATGCTGAGCACAGGACTGGGCTCTGCCAGTGTTTCGTGAATGAGTGGACAGATGTGTACAGATCAAAGACAGCTGCCTTTGGGCCCTTCCAAGACATACTCTGCTGAACTGCCTGTACTCACCAGGACAAAAAAGACTCTGTGCTCCCTGGGAAGCCTTCCCTGGAGCTGAGCAGAAGGGCTGGGCTAGGGGTAAGAAGAGGCAGCCTACTGCTTCCCCATTGGGTTTGGAGGGCACAGAGGGGACATGGCTCCATGGTCTGAGGGCACTGTGACATCCCAAGAGCATGGATCCTCCCCTATCTTCACTGCTTCAGGAAGCAGGCCCAGGTTGATCACAGCTCCGCTGCTGACCCATGGAGGCAAGCCCCTCTCTTCATGGCCACATTTGGCCCCGATGGCCTTTCGTGGACTTTTCAGCCCATAAATCCTGTGACCTTGTTTTTCTGGGCCTACAGAAGAAGCTTCTGGAGAGCACTAGGAACCAGGATTTCCACTGCCTGAAGCACCCTGTGATACAGATTTCCTTCTTTCAGATGCATTTCGTCTTCTCAGATAAGGTCATGCTTCTGTTTGACTTCTGGAGTGTTCACAGTCCTGCAGGTAAGAATTGGGAAGCTCAGACTTGTAGCTTGGGAAGCCTTGTAGCGAGAGGCAGTGGAGACCAGCATTCCTCCAGCATGTATACTGAAAAGGAACTCTGCAACTATGGTTCCACTTGCAACACTAGCCTTCAGATTGCAAAGGGCTCCATTATCTTATAGATCCTCACAAGGCCCAGAGAGAGGCTGGGGAGGCAGCTTTTCCTTCTGTCCCAGGGGGAAGGAACTGAAGCCCAGAGAGGGTTAGAGACTCATGCAGGGGCACAAAGTGAGTAAGCACTGGAGCCAGAACTAGATTGAGGCCTCCTGGGCTTCCTGGTACTTCTGTCCTCTGGGCTCGTTGTCCAGCACTAGCTCAGAAGCCCACAGCAGGCTCTGCAGCCTTGGATCTCAGATGAGACACCAGTTTGAAAGGGAAGAATATTCCTTTGACTTGAAAAGGCAAAGTTTGATACTAATTCATAATGGAGTTATTTTTCAACTTAAATAATGGTCTTGCCAGCCATGGTGGCACACCCCTGTAACCCTAGCACTTGGAAAATCAGCAGTTTTTTGTTTGTTTGGGGTTTTTTTGGTACCAGGGATTGAACTCAGGTCCTTTCGCTTGCACAGCCGGTGGTGAGACCACTGAGCTAAATCCCGGGCTGACCCCAGCACTTGGGAGGCTGAGGCACAAGGATTACCATGAGTTCAAGGATAACCTGAACTACAGACCCAGTCTCAAAAAACAACAATAACATCAAGTCTTAAAAATAGACTGGAAACAGCCCAGATGCCCATCATTGGAGGTATAGATCAAATATAGTCATTTTATCATTCTTTCTCAAGTTTCTGTAGGTTGACTATAGCTGAGTGGTCCCCACTGAAGGCCTCTCTTGCAGTGTTGTCACAGAGGCTGGAACCGGAGTAATCTTGTTTTGGTTTTTTGTTTTGTTTTGTTTGTTTTGGTACTGGGGATCGAACTCAGGACCTTGCTCTTATGAGGCAGGCACGGCACCACTGAGCTAATTAAATGCCTTGGAACAGAAGTAATCTAGGGGACTCTCACCTCACGCCCAGTGGTTGATGCTGGACATGAGCTAGGATTTTGGCTGGGGGTCTTGGCTAGGCACCTACATGTGGTGTTTCCTGTGGCCTAGGCTTTCTTGTGGCAGGGTATCTAGGTTCTAAACATGATTATCCCAAGAGAACAAGGGAGAAGTACCTGAGGTTTTTGAGATTTAGCCTTGGAAATCACATGACTTCCACCTTATTGGTTGAGCCAGTCACAAAGGTCTTCCTAGGCTAAAGGGGAGAGAACATGGCCCCCACCACTTGGTGGCAGGAATGTTAACATTCTAAGAACAGCTGGAGATGGTAGGGTGGCCATCTTTGGAAAATAAAATATTACAGATACTGTGGAGCCACGGGAAAAATCAAGCAGATTGGTGTGAACCAACCAGAACCCACATGCAAGGTACAGCTGGACGGTGAAGTCAGATGCTGGAGGGTGTAAAGAGACAGGATGTGTCATTTAGATGGCTGAGGGCTGGTACATACATGATGACAGGCTGCTCTGGGGAGGAGGACCAGGGTTCTGGGAGGCCGGGCTGGGGAAAAGACTGACTTCACTGTATACCCTTCTACTCTGTTTGAATTTTTACCATGTGCCTGCAATTACCTATAATTTTACGTTTTAAAATTCTGCATTTTTTGCAGATAATTTCTTCTGTGATGGAGAAAACCAACCTACTCTTTTACCTTTTCTCCCATTCAGTACACTTGTATGGCCAGGTTTGTAGGTGCCCCCTTCCCCGTACTGACAGTTTTCTGATACCAGCTGAGTGTCCTGCAGTTCAGTTCTCACACTAATCAGATGCAGACCCCACAGGTTAAGAGCATCATCCTACAAGACTTCCCCCCACCAGACATCAGTTGTAAACCCCAGGTTATCTCCTGTCCCTTTGCGCAGTCAGCTATAAGATCGGGTCCCATGAACCCCTCCTTGGGACTAATTATTTGCTAGAATGACACACAGAATTCAGGGAAATACTTCACAGGTATGATTGATTTAAGTCATTGGCCACTGGTGATTAACTCAACCTACGGACCCTCTTCCTGTTCCAGAGGTTGAAGGAAGGGCTAGTCACCTGGTAACCAGCCCCCATCCTGAGGCTGGCTGTCACGGAGCCCCAGACACTTAGTCATCTTATTAGCATACAAAAAGACACCTCTAGCCAGTTTCCAAGGGTTTTAGAAGCCGTGTGCCAGGAAACCAGGGCAGAAACTAAATACATATTTCTTATTATGTCACAGAGCCCCATAAAATACTTTAACTGGAAGCCAGGCATGGTGGCACATGCCTGTCTGTAATCCTAGCACTCTGGGAGGTTGAAGGAGGAGGATTGCAAGTTTGTGTACAGTCTGGACAACTTAACAAGACCCTGTCTCAAAATTTAAAAAAGGGCTGAGAATGTATCTGAGTGTGAAGGCCGTGGGTTCAGTCCTCAGTACCACAAAAACAAAAACAAAACAAAACAAACTTTAGCTGGACCACTTCTCTCCACCTGTAAAAACAAAGTAGAACTGGCAGTTAATTCTACACAGCAGCTCTAGTAAGGACTTATTTTCTATGAAATAACTTACTGGGTTTTTCTCCACTATAAAAGTAATATAGGAAAAACTTTAAGAGAGTTATTCAAGAAAATAAAAACCCACCTGTATCCAAATTTGCTGAGACAATTGTTACTCCTTTGCTTGTATGTCTTTCCTTCCAAGCTTTTTTGGTATCTCCACATGTTGAGCAGGACTTTGCTGTGCACATCCACATCGTGACAGATTTGTGCAGACTGCTAAGGGGGCGGGCCAGGTCTCTGCAACCTGGCCCCTCCTTCCCTTCTAGAAATTGTACACATTTATGTGATGTTTTGATACATGTATGTATTGTATAATGCTCAAATCAGTGTAGGTAGATTTACTGAAACATGTAAGTTCTTTGTGGTAAAAACATCTACAATCCTTTCTTTTAGCTTTTTTGAATTCTACAGTACGTTATCACTGTTTCCAGTCATTTTACTGTACATAAGGAACACCAGAACCTAGTTCTTAACTCTGCCTCTCTCAACAGGCATCGCCCTCTCAGTGTTGGTAGTCCTGCTCTTGGCTATATTGTACGAAGGCATCAAGGTTGGCAAAGCCAAGCTCCTCTACCACACTCTGTCGAGCTTGCACACCCCCGCCAGCCAGGAGCACATCTTGGAGAGAGAGCGGGATTCTGTGGATTCAGACTCACTCTTAGTCAGCAGAACCCCCCTCAGGTACCGGCACTGACTGTGGGGGATGGGCAGAGTCCTAACATCACCCTAAGAAGTAGGCTGGGCCCAGACAGCATTAGTCCCAAGACAAGGAAATGGAGGCCCAGAAAAAGAGCAGGACTTGCCAAAGAGGTTACAGGTAGTAGGGTGAACTCTCCTACTGAGCTGAGCTCTCCTCACCCAAAGCTGTATCAGCAGCATTGGGAGGCCCAGGATTTCTGCAGGGAACTGTGACCTTCAGAACTCTGCTGCAGGCCCGTCTAGCAGCATGAATGGCCATTCAGCCTTCTCCCAAATCTCAGTAGGCTTCTGAACCCAGGAGGGCATCTGCAGCTGTCCCAAAGCAATGCTAAGAGCTGCTGTCAGCCATGTAACCAACTTGGTGGGTGAGGGGAGGCATCCTTTTCTCCCTTTCCACTTAGATCAAGCAACCATTTAGGGTCCTCAGTCTGTCCTCTCTCCAGCCTCACTTTGGGGGCTTAATACGTCTGCCTGGACCATCACCAGGAAGCTTACCTAGGTGTCTCAAGTCTTCCAACTATCCTGCAAGGGAAGTTTTATTCCATTGTACTGATGAGGAATTTAACATTGAGACATTAAAACATTCGTGCTAGGCCAGATTTAGGAAGTGGCAGGTCAGTTCCTAGATCTGCCACCAGTGTCTGCTCTTTCCATTGTCATCCTGCCTCTCACAGGACATTCAGGGCAAAAAAAAAAAAAAAAAAAAAAATTGCACTACTGATTTCCTTGTATCCCTTATCAGACAAGATAGATTGAATATATCATTTCCCTTTTTGCCAAGACACCAGGAAGCTTAGAGCTAAATGTAGTGATGCTTTAAAAAGCAATCTCTCTTGGGCTAAGCATGTTATGCTGTAACACAAGGGCTTGCTACTCCGATAGGAGCTCCCTGCCTCCAGCACATTACCAGCATTAACTTGATTCTCCTTCTTGTCTAGGTGGCTTTTGTGTCATTTTGGCCAGTCTCTAGTCCATGTTATTCAAGTGGTCATTGGCTACTTCATGATGCTGGCTGTGATGTCCTACAATGCCTGGATTTTCCTTGGTGTGGTTTTGGGCTCAGCTGTGGGCTACTACCTAATGTACCCACTTCTCGGCAAGATTTAACTGGCAGATGATGAGCAGGCCTTGAGGGCTGGAGGGAGCCAGAGTCCCTCTTCCAGACATCATACTTCCCACTGCTTTTTCTCCTGGTGGTTGTTCCTTGCCTGCCCAGCTCCCGGCAACTTTGGGCAAAAGCCAGCACTCCCTCCCTGGAGTTCAGAGGGCACTGCAGCTGCTCCCTCCTCAGCCAGCTGAGCAGGCCTGAGCTTAGTGTGGCACCTTAAAAAGGCTGCTATGACCAGGGGGCAGATGAAGCAGCTAAAGCCTGTGATGGATGACACAGTGCTGTGACTCAAACTTAAGAATTTTCAAAGATCTTCAGGACAGGGAGATGGGCTCTGGGTGACCATGGCCATGAAACCTGGATACCCTGCTGCCTGCTCTGTGCCTTATCCCTAGGAACATCCTCCGCTGAGCTGTCTGTGGGGGACAGAGACCACGCTAGCTCCTTTTTCTCACCTTTCTGCCTTTGAACACATGAAGATTGTTTCTTCAGTGGATCATGTGGACCAAGATTTTTCATTTTCCCATTGGACTCCTGGTTGGCAATTTTGCACATTCATACAAAACAAAATTTTTAATGAAATGATTATATTTTATACTTGATGGATGGCAACACCTGCTGAGACCTGTCTCGCTTTCTTGAGGGGAGAATAAGCACCGATTCAAGGCAGACTGGGGAGTTAGAAAGGCTCTGGCTTGTGGTCTGGATAGAATGAGCTCCTGCCATCAGATGGCACTGCCTGCAGGGGTAGGTCACTCTTGTGGCCAATGTGTCTGGGGTAGGTCATGGCCGTCATGCTGCTCCCCACCCAGATACTCTCTTATACAGAACAGAGAACTGCATTTAATACTGTTCAGTGCTTAAGTGCTCTTTTTTTTTGGTACTGGGGATCAAACTCAGGACCTTGCGCTTTCGAGGCAGGCACACTGCCACTGAGCTAAATCCCCGGCTCCAGTGTTCTTTATTTATTACTTACTGCTCACTGATTAAGCCATGGTGGTGGGGTATGGACTGGGGAAGCAGGAAGCAGTCAAACCAAAGCCGGTACCCTTTTAGAGTTAGATGGACTCTGGATATTTGAACTTCTTCACTTTACAGAAAAGGGAAAGACTCAAGGAGAGAAAACTGCTACTGTATACTGTAATATCTATGCTCAAGGACCTCATGGGCTAGATGAAAAGATGCTCTTAAGCTTTGGGAGTTAAAACATACATTTTAATAAATATATATTTTTGAACAGTCTGTGACCGTTGGTCCCGTTTCTCCTCATTCCAACAGTAGGCACACATAACCCTTGCTTGTCACAACTGCAGGAACTGAGGTGGGGGGCAAATGGAGCTGGAGGCACATTGTCCGACTGTCTGAGGACTGAGTCCATCTGTTAAAGTTAATAGTTCTGTGCCCAGAGAAACTGAGGCTGAAACACTGTCTATAGGTAGACACCCCAAGATGCCAACTTACCGTTCTTCTGTTCACATAACAAGCATTAATCGGGTGCCCACTATAATAAAAGACCCTATCACACTGACACAAGCACCTGTGTTGTCATGGACATTAGCACCTGTGCTCTCTGAGGGCAGAAGCAAAAATATGACTCCTTTACCGTGGAGTGTGTGATGACTCTAGGACTGCTTGGCACATTCTCAGGCATGCAGGGAACTGGAAAGCTGCCCGGGGCCCAACAGGGGAAAGATTCAGTGGAGGCTCATTCATCTGTCATCAAGTCCTGACCCAGGGCTTCTTCCCCAGCATACTGCTGCAATGGGCACCTTCACAGGTGGTCGGTCAACTCCTCAGTCTGACAGACCCTAAATGTGGCTTTTATAGCATAGAGGCTGAAAAATTTTTTTAAGTCTAGGCTGTAGAGGGTGATTATACATTAGGCTTAGTAAGCAATCCACTGTTGTCTTTTCTACACCCTTAAGAGCCAAGTCACAAAAAGTGGTATTTTCTACTTAATTTAAAAAATCAATCTATCTATCTATCTATCAATCATTTCTCAAGACAGGATCTTGCTATGTAGTTCAGGCTGGCCTTGAACTCACTAGGTAGCCCAGGCTGTCCTCAAACTAACAGTGATCCTTCTGCCTCAGCCTGAGTACTGGCATCACAGGCAAGCACCACCACACCTGGAAATTTTTAAAAAATTTAACCAACATCTAAGTAGTTACTGTGTGCCAGGCGGTGTTCTAACCACTCTACAAATATTAACTCATTTAATTCTCACAACAAAATTGGAACTATTCCTGTCTCCATCTTACAGATGAAGAAGCTGAAGAACAAAGACCTACTCACCCAGCTAATAGGCCACAAAGCCAGCTTTCGATTGGGTTTTTTTGGTACTGAAGGTTGACCCCAAGCCTTTGCACTGAGCTACAACCCTAGCCCTTATTAAATTCTGACACAGGGTCTCAGCTAATTGCCTAGGCTGGGCTTGAACTTATGATCCTCCTGACTTAGCCTCCCACAGTGCTGGGATTATAGGTATGTTCCACCATGCCCAGCTAGAATCTGTTTCTTCATCAGTTCTGTTTTCATGAGGGGGCTAAAAATGAAAGGGCAAGTAACTTGGCTGGGCCACACAGCACTCATGGAACAAGGAAGCAAAGACTGAAAAACCTGTATTCTTTGTATCTTACTATAAAAGGGTAGAAATTCTTTCTCCAGAGATGCCAGGAAGGGCCCAGAAGCCTATAATTTTTTTTTTTTTTTTTGGTACTGGGGATTGAACTCGGGTCCTTGCACTTGCAAGGCAGGTGGTGGAACCACTGAGCTAAATCCCCAGCCCCAAAGCCTCTACTTTTATTAGTGTTTGGATATACAATGAGTACAGTCATCTGGGTAGTTGATATATACAATCTTAGTCTTTTCTGCATTCCTCGTTCCTTCTAACCCAGACAGTCTGGCAACAGTGCCCAGGCTCTCCAATCAGACAGCCAGGAATTGAATCTCTTTTCTGTGGCTTACTAGCTATATAATTTTAGACAAGTCACTTTACTTCTCTAAGCCTGAGTCTTCTCTGTAAAAGGGGATAACACTTTATGTCTTCTGCAAGGCTGCTGGAGACAAAGATAGCCTATATACAGTGCCAGCCAGCAGCACATATTTGTTAAAATACAAAGGTTAATACCTGGTTGTTCTCATTGCCCTCCAGGCCCACCTTGGGGAGACAGGCACAAAGGCTACAAAGGTGATATGGGGCCAAACAGTGGAATTCCGGTTCCTATCACACATTCAGACAGGGTTGTGCTATGTGGTTCAGGCTAGACTTGAACTCATTATGTAGGCCAGGCTGGCCTTGAACTCCTGTCTCAGGCTCCCAAATGCTGGGGTTACAGGAGTGCACCACCTCATGCAGACAGGTTCCTATGTTACACACATTTAAGTGAGTAATATTTTTATTTTTGAAGACTAGTTGCATGGTCTTCGGAAGAGCCTAAAATAAATAAAATGGCCATAAATACATTCTCACTGCTGTCCTCTGCATTAATCCTGCCCCCCACAACTTCAGAGAGAATGGAAGCTGCTCCCAAAGTGAAGAATCTTTCAGTTGCCAAGAACAACGGGAATAGGGAACCCTCCCACCTTCTCTCACAGCTTACTCGGGAGAAGTGGTTTAAGGACTGGTCCTCAGACAATCATGAGTCCCCAAGCCTTACGCAGCTGGGATGAGCTGGCACAGCTGAGTGGTACCCTTCTCTGGAAGCATGTTTCAGGTTTAGGCACCAAAGGGAACAAGTCACAACAATTTTGTGCACATTAACAGGTCCATTTATAACTCCCACCCTTAGATTCCCAAGAGAACCACCGACAGCCCTTAGAACCAATTTTTCCCCAAGGGCCGAGTCAAGTTTCATTAGTCATTTATTTTAGTTTTGTTAATTTCAAATACTCACTGAACTCTTATATAAGACTTAAGGCAGAGAAAGAAAGATACATATCCTAGGATAGCAGCCAGGCTGCTGACTGAACAGGGAAGGAGATGGTGTGGTCTCCCCTTGGTTTTCCAGCAAGACCCCCCGCCCCAGGTGACAGGTCTTATTGCTGGGGCACAGCTGGGCTCTGACAGACAGATGAAGTAGGGCTCTCAGGTCAGTCTGAGAGTGAATGAAGAGAAGAAAAAGCTTGGGAGAGGGCAGGACTCTTGTGGGTGACTGGCTGGAGAGGAACCTCACAGCCCTTCCTCCACATAGACCTTGAAGGCAAGACCACAATGGGCTGCTCCAAACACCAACCGTGAAGACAGTCATGATCCTCTTCACTAGGTCAGGTGGGGGCTCCCGAGAGGCTAACTCAGGTATCTGAACTGCTCACCTTGACCTCACCCTGTGGCTCGCCTAGACCCAGGGCTGGCTGTGCAAAATCATGCTTATTGGGAAGGGCCGGTAGAGAAATCTGTGCACCAGTTTCCTGGGTCTTCATCCCAGCCAGCTAATGTCATCATCATCATCGTCATCTCCAAAAAGGGGTGTTGGGGGCGGGCGTCCCTTCATGCTCTGACAAAACAGGAAAGAGTAGTCAGTCCTCACTTGTCTCCGCCCCCGGCTGGTCTTCCTGCCTGGGAGGTGAAGTGACTCAACATCTGTCCCTGGCTCCAGGTTGGAAAGGAAGTGCACTGGAAGAACCAGCCCAGAGGCCTGCAACCTAGGCTTTCAGATAAAGCTGAGATGGCGTGCAAAGAGGAAAGCAGGCTGGCAACAGAGACAAAAAGACCAACTTTGTTTGGCTAATTTTGTCATTTATTTGTGAAGCACATGTATTGATTTGACAGATTTTCCTCTCTTGTGGTAATTCACTTTTCCTGTGCAGAAAGAGGAGTCACAGAGCAGAGTTGGGAGTAGGAGAAAGAAACAGCGAAAAAAAATAGCCCTGAGAGAGGAGAAAGGATGCAAGAAGTTGACGGGAGGTTGGGAAGAATACAATTACATCAAAACAACAGCTGTTTGGCCTAAGATAGTAGCCTGACTGGCTCTGGATGTGGCTCCACCATTTGAAAAAGAGTTGAATTTAGAGGGCTGGCCATACTTGCAAGTGGAGAATCCCCAAACATGAAGAAAACCCAGGGACACAGGGCCCAGCTACCCACAACCCTGGTCTCTCTCCACCCTTGCTCCTTCCAATCAGGTAGGGAGATAAAGGGGATTAAGGCATGCTATAGTTTGGACATTAAGTGTCCCCTCAAAAACTCTTTGTTATTAAAGGCTTGGTCCCCAGCCTGGCACTTTTGGGAGGTAGTGGAAACTTTAAGAGATGGGGCCTGGGAGGAGGTCTTCGATGCTGGAGGGGATCCCCAGGAGGGGATAGGACCCCATATCCTGGTTCCTTATTCTCTGCCCCCACCATGATGTAAATAATTTTGCTCTGCCACATGTTCTGCCTTGCTTTAGGGACAAAAGCCACAAAGCCAATCAACCATGGACTGAAACCTCTGAAACTGTGAGCCAAAATAAATCTCTTTATAAGTTCAGTATTTCAGTTATCATCTAATAGTAACAGAAAGCTGACATGGGAGCCAAGTAGAAGATTCTCCCAGCTTTTTCATGACATGAGCTCCTGGCTTTTTCTCTCTGGACTGGCAGGGAAGAGGTCCTACAGAGGCAGCGGGGATTGATGCTAGAGACAGGCATGAACCAAACAGTCTCTGTTAAGCTATTTTCTGCTCAGTGAGCTCCTACTGACCAGAATCAGTCTCCATGGAGGCCAGGATCATGGAAGGCAGCATGTACAGAGGCCTCTGAGCTAATCCCACTGTCCACCTGCTAAAAGAACTGGTATTTCTCTGGGCATTAATGAGGCGATCTCTAAAATTCTGACAGAACAGGACTTAAGTGTAGCTCACACATTCTGTTTTCTTTAAAGGCTCTGGCTCTACCCATTCACCAGCCATATAACCTGAGTTATATTATTTGACCTCTCTGTGCCCCAGGGCTCTGATCTATAAAATAGGGAAAGAGTGTCTACCTCACTGGATTAGTAGAGGATTAAATGAGAATGTGAAATAGTTTTCACTCCACACAAGAAATAGATGTTAACTTGGTGGTGTTAGCATTAACAATGTGCTGCTAACTTAAAAATTCCAACTATATATAGGGCAATCACTTGGGATATGTATTTTCCCTTTTACTCTTTTAGTGCAGAATTTGTACTTGGTTTTCTCAAATCAAAATCAACTTTTTTGAGAAAAGGCTAATGGGAGGAAATGTACACTTCCCTCAAACCAAGACAGGCAAAAGAGAAGGGCC